AACAAAAAAGTTATTAAGGTTTTTAGTTTAAGGGTAGTTCACCCTAAATTGGAAAATTTTAGTAAAAACATTGATTTTAAACATAATTATTCATAATTTTTAAGTTTCAGAATTTTTTGATAATTTTTTCAGTAAAATAGTTTAATAAAAACATACATTAGTTCACTTTTCTTTGATTTAGTTCAGTAAAAGTGCACATTTTCCAACTAATCAGTAAAACACTTGAACAAAATATGATTCCGATAAAACCACTTTAGATAAAATAGTTCACTTTTAGAGAACATTTTCTTTAAAAGATAAAAAATAGTCCACTTTTAGTGAACTGTTTCTTTAAAAACATTTTGTTTTGTAGTCAATTTTATGTAAAATATAGACATATTCATGAAAATTTCATCAAAATTATATACTTTTTCTAGAAAAATATGAATATGTTAGAAATTGACCTAAAAGGGTAAAAAATATAGCATATTGTATAAAAAAATAGGAAAATTCATTTAATTTTTGAGTGGCTCCTTTTTTGGCCCAGAAGTGACATGAATATATCTACTCTTATATATATATATATACGTCCGTGAACGCGATAACTTGAGTAATTTTTGTCCGATTTTGATGAAATTTGGTTTAAAGGTGTAAAGCGGGATAAACTTGAATGAGTTCGCGAACCAGCACGATCGGACCATGGGAACGGGGCTTTACGGGGGGTTTTATGGGGTAAAAATTGGTTTTTCTCACTTTTGCCCCTTAAAACACAAAATTTCCCAATTTCTGTTTAGACCTTTTTAAAGAGCTTAAAAAAACAAATAATTTAGTATATAAAAGTATTTTTGTTCAATTATTAGTGACGGAGAAAATTTTAAAAATTGTAAATTTAAAATTCCCATGTTATTCTTATGGAGAATATTGTCAAATGTTGTAGTTTGCTTGTTTATGAATATATTTTGATCAAACTTGTCAAATTTATTTATTTTGTACTAAGCTATCAATATTTTACTCAAAAACACACTTTATTTGTTTCCTTGTAGCAGCAAACCTAGGTACTCGTTAAACCTAATGTTATTAAAATATAATTTAACTGAAAATCAATTCAGACAAATGGAAATTCGCTTAGTCGGCAGGTTTGCTGCGGCGGGGGTGTTTTATTCTTAGTTGGCAACCCTGTTTTTAGCTTGTAGTCTGTCTCTAAGACTTCAAAATATTATGCTGTTTTGGTCTGCTTTGTTGTTGTTTACTATTGTCTGCTACGGCTACAACTAACTGCTACAGAAAAGTTTACTAACATTTTCAATTTTTTACAAAGTTTGTATAAGAGTTTTAGTCTGTTTTATATTGTGAATTAGTGAGTTACTGTTTGTGAATGTGTGAATGTATGTGTAAGACTAAAAATGCCTAGAATCACAAGGTTTAACCGTAAAAGGTTTCAAGGTAACCAACACAGTCTCAGTCTACTAACTCCAGGTAATGATGTAGGCCTAGGTGAACCAACCAGTGAACCTAAGAAAAGTTCCAGCTCTAAAAAGCTTCATGGATCAAAGCTGCCAAAACTGTATGAGTATGACAACAATGATGTCAATATAATAATCAACATGGACATTTTATCTGCTATTTATCTGCTAAGAAGCTTTTCTAAGTGTAAAGAATGTAGCTCAGATGACTGCATGATTTTGCGACTCGATGATACCTACACTAACTTAATGGCTTGGCCCATAAGTTGATATTTGAATGTGATTCATGTGGCTACTGTAATTCTTCTATGTCATCAAATATATTTAGGAATAAGCATGAAGTCAACCTGCGATTTTCTTATGCAATGCGCTCAATAGGCAAGGGGCTTGAGGCTGGTAAAACCTTTTCTGCCGTAATGAACCTAGCTCCTCCTAACTCAAGGATGCAGACTTTGTACAAACAAATCCTCCGAAGTCTAACAGATGTGTGTAATGCCTCTTTGAGAAATGCAGCCTCTGAAGCTGTGCAAGAAAATGAAGGAAGTCCAGATATTGCTGCGGCTTTTGACGGCACCTGGCAAAAACGCGGGTTCATGTCACTAAACGGCGTCATAACTGTAACATCCTTTGACACTGGAAAGGTATTAGATTATCATTGCATGTCAAAATTCTGCATTAGTTGTGCCAGAGGTCTGTAAAAGGATTATCCAGTTAAGTTAGAACGGCATAGGAAAGAGTGCAAGTCAAATTATACCGGAACGAGTGGCAGTATGGAAGTAGAAGGCGCTAAAGCCGTTTGCCTTAGATCCGAAGACAAACTTGGAGTGCGCTATGTCAAATACCTTGGGGATGGCGACTCAAAAGGCTTCCAGTCTGTCTTAGAAGCCAGGCCTTATGGTGAGGATGTAGAAATATCTAAATTAGAATGCATTGGTCATGTGCAGAAGCGACTTGGAAGTTGATTACGCACATTGAAAAAGAAAATGAAAGGAGTTGAGCTCGCTGATGGCAAAACTCTTGCAGGCAAAGGTAGACTGACAGATCCTGAGATAGACAACCTACAAAGGTACTATGGTATGGCCATAAGAAGTAGCCTAACTGATGCAACAGGTATGAAAAATGCTGTGTGGGCAACTTACTACCACAAGCTGTCTACGGATCTAAACCCGCAACATCACTTATGTCCGAAAGGAGAGAACACATGGTGCAAGTTTAATAAATCATTGTTAACAAAAACAACGTTTACACATAGGCCTAACAAATCTCTTCCTGAAGCAGTTATGAAAACAATAAAACCGACATATGAAGATTTGTCTGCAGAAGGACTTTAAGGGCGATGTTTGCATGGCAAAACGCAAAACCCAAATGAAAGTGTAAATAGTTATAGGCCTATATGGAAAAGATTTTGGTGTGGCTGATGCAGTCTTATGTTTCAATGAGGGTTCAATTGCAAAAGCTAATGTGCTGAAACACATGGGTCTTAAGCCCGGTAAATTTATGGTGGAAGGCTTGAAAACCATCGATCAACGACGGATCATAAAAGCCGATAAAGAATATCAAGAACAAAACAAAACGAAAAGAGTAAGAAGGAGACTTGTAAAGAAGGCAACAGAAGAAAATGAGAAAGGAGATGATACTACTTTCCTGGTGGATTTTAAAAATAAAGTAAGTTTTAACTAAAATCTTGGCATTTATTTGGTTTCTGGAGCGTTTCCGTAACTATGGTTTTTTAACAATTAGGTACACTTTACTCAACAACCATTTGAGATAGCTACATGAAAATTTGTGTGCTTGTACAAAACAACTGTACTATCATGCTATAGGCTACCTATTACTTATTAAAATTTCAATCTAGGTTTTGTACAAAAAAATAACAATAATAAAAAAAATATTTAAAATATATTTTTTATTTGTGAATATTTTTTTTTACACAAAAATTAGCTTCTTTGAGGTATAAATAACTTCTAATGTACTTCCTAGTGCAGTGTAAAAGTTTCATGTCAATATGTCAAAAGGTTTTTGAAAAAAATGTACCTAATGGGTTTCATTACTTCACCGAGTGAGTTTTTGTAACTTTTACTTCACTCGTGATGTAAAAATATTAAAAATACAATATTACAGCATATTTTCTTTCTCTAACCCAGGAACCAGAGGGGGCAAATGCCCCCTGCCACTTCAAAAATGACGCCCTTGGTACGATCTAGATCATTGTAAACATCATGCTTGGGATAGGGAAGTTTAACATGGTGGGTTATGTAAAAAAATTACATCACTCACACCGGTGACTTTGTTATTGTCTATGCCAGTCACAGTTTATGTTCTATAGGCAAGCAGTGTATGAGCACTCAACTAGCCAGCCATTCGATTTTCACGATGCCCCACTCGAAGCCTCTTCTAATACTGTATAAGAGGCCATGTCGGGGGGAATGTGGCAATGCTGCAATCGCTCGCGGCCTACCAAGACACCTTAACACTAATTTATAATGCATATGGAGCGTCTGCGTAATGCTTTGAAGGGTTTGTTCACTAATGTGAGTAATATATCTATAAGGAACATAATTGGAATAGATCAAATGGCTGATCGTGTACTTTTGTGGTCTTCAAGCTTCAAGTGACTGTGGATTAGGCTGACAAGGGGATATGAGGGGATTGTGACGTTGCCACATTGTTGGGCATGGTTTTGGTTTTGACGAGACAATGCCGACAGACCAGGGTGCATATTTTGAATATTTTGCATCATGCATGCATCAATACCTTATACGTAATCTCTATCTGTTTTTTGTGGTTACTATTTACTGTAGTTCTATTGTGGAGTTAGCCTATAAATCGTAGGTATGGTGTCTGTTAACACTATAGTTTATTGATTAGGCTACTTTCTAGGTTTGATAGGCTACGATCAGTGATTCATTACACCAAACCCGAGGGGGCAAACACCGTGGGGTATAGGGGGTATGGTATGGAATATTCCCCACCAAAGATGAAGGTCCGGGAAAATTTAGCAATTTTGAAACCATAAAGAGGGTTTTAAGCTTATTTTAAATGTAAAAAATATTAAAAATACAATATTACAGCATATTTTCTTTCTCTAACCCAGGAACCAGAGGGGGCAAATGCCCCCTGCCACTTCAAATGACGCCCTTGGTACGATCTAGATCATTGCAAGTTTTACAAAAATAATACATTTATCTTAAAATCTAGCTCTGGGATTATTTTATAATTTACTGTATATTGCAATTCCATAAGATCTCTTATCTCTCTTTTACGCCTGTTTTATAAGTATTGACTATTCAGACGATATAACATTTTACCAGTTGATAAATCCTCATAACTGACATGTGCAAGAGAAGAGGTGACAGTTGGACAGTTTTGAAACGATAGCAGAAAGAATTCACGTAAAACTGTTTCTGATTTTACCCAGAGTTACTAAAATAAATTGAGAAATGTAGCAGTGTTGGATTGGACATAAAAATATAATGTATACATAGAATCTAGAAAAATTTGCTGCATGTTATATATATATATAAAAAACTAACACACTTAAATATGATTGGCATCCAGGTTCAGAGGTTTCTACAAGAGGTGACGTCAGATTATGTTGCACTGACAGGCTTGAACATGTTTGCCATCACAAGGAACTTCTTACTTGGAGTAAGTTTTGTTTTAGTCAAAACTAATTAAATTTCAATTTTTAGTAGGTATAAAACCAGAGCTACGAAAAGATACGCTGGATAAAGTTTCAAATACTCGATGCTAAATAGTTTTGTACTTTTTAGCAACATGTATTTAGCCTAGTATTAAAACAAAGCGTTTCAAAAAATGTTAATGCTACTGTAACAAAACAGTATCTTCCTTTTGAATTCAGGCTTTAAGAATAACATTTTGATAATACAGTAAAATCTTGCATAATTACTAACAACTAGATTAGCAGAGTATAGGCTACAGGTTTTCTATAACAAAGACTTTTACCATTTCTCTGCAGTTGGAACTTTACTAATGGTCTCGTGTTATGATTGAAACAAAATGTATCTATGTATGTTTTAATAAGATGATTAGAAAAAAATTGTACTTTCCAGATTGCTGGCGCCATTCTCACTTATGAGATAGTTTTAATTCAACTACAGAATTCCAACCGGTCCGTACCAGGTGGATAAGTCAACTATAAATTGTTGTCACAAAATAAATACATGTTTAAACATAATATGTTTAATTTTTCCCCATTATTTTTTTTTTTAATAAAGCTAGGTATACACTTGTATTGCGTATACATAATCTCACTCCATTCCGCACTCATCCTTCTCTCATATTTGGGGGATAAATTACGTACCTAGGTGGCGTCCATCTTAATAACTGATTATTGATAGTGTGTGTAAAACAGTCAAAGGCAAAACTTATAGGATGGCTCAACAAAAAGAGTCTTAAAAAAATATATAAGAGATCTTCAAGAAAATATCAAATAGGCCTACAAAATAAGTAGCCTAAGTAATTCTAGGGTAAGGAAATTCCAGGCAGACTTGCCCCTCTAGCAGGCCTGGAATTGTAAAGTTACAGTACAGAGTTATTGAATTAAGAAATATTAAGATTTTTAGTACATCAGTCACTAAACAGTTTGTCTAATATAAGTTTAAAAAAGAGGGTGAATGAATTAAGTTCAGTGACACCTAACTAATTATTCAATAATAAATATTAGCAAAAGTTTAGTTCCCCATGTTTAAAAATAGTTTAATATTACAGAACATTAAAAGAGAATCAATAAAAGAACGATTAGGAAAACACATTCCACCCTTGCAATAGCAGAGTGTGATTATTGTGTGTGGAATGTGCAAAACTGATCCGGGATCACTTTTTTCAATTTGTATAATCCTAGAATTGAAAAAGATTGTCGCCAGGAATAAAATTCCCAAACCCAGCTGTACCCTACAGCGTTATAGTTTAGCTTTAACTCTTGACATATGTAGACTTTAACACTTACAAGTACACATCGGTCAATCTGACCGATGGGAATTTTTACGCTCTGATATTGGCAACACTGAATAGTTTTGGCGCCTACCGCTCACAATACCTTCCTCCCACCCCCTCACTGACATCCCGGCAAAATATCGATTAGTTTGGCCTTAAGCAGTGCCTAGTGTGGATGGTTTTTGTTTCGTCGGCCGGTCAGAATTACCGCGTGTGTTCTATACCGTTATCCTGCTGTCGGTCAAAGTGACCGTATGTGTCCTATAACGTAGACTGTACTGACTCGCTATACTTATTTTATAGTGATTTAGTGACATTTTTCGAGGTGTCTAATCAGCATATGGACACTTTATTCTTTGTACATAATTGGTGATAGTTTGTTTTTATTTTTATATATTTCTCACGTAAAATGGACCGACCTGGGACAAGTAAGTCTTGTGGTACATCCTGGACAGTGGGTGATCCAGATTTTGGTGACCGAGTACGGAGGTTGTTAGAGGAAGATGAAGACAATCCGGACGATCCAGATGAAGTGGATGATGTTGGCTCCGTGGTCGATGACTCAGACGCCGACCCTGACTACGTGATGTGTCAAAGTGAGGCAGACGAATCGAGTAGTTCGGACGAAGATGCAATGCTAGTGGACGACGTGGACGTGGGTGAGTCAAGTGTCATAATAAATGCTGTTGCTCCAGATGTTCCGCTTCCTAAATATTTCCTTGAAAGGATGAGGAAAAAGGAACAGGGCCCTCCAAATGGTTGGACCAGCAAACATCCTCCCCGAAATGTAAGGACTCCCGCCAGAAATATTCTTAGAGGAGGATTGCCTGGGATCACAGGGCCTGCACGAGCGTTAGGAGAGGCGTCCAATAAAACAGAGGTATGGCAACTGTTTTTTGATGCTGAGATTATTTCTAAAATCGTTACCAATACCAACATAAAGTTATTATCAGTTCGAGACAAAATCCCCCCTGGGCAAAGTAAAGCCAATTTTAGAAACACTAACAATGAAGAGGTGACTGCTCTAATTGGATTACTACTACTGTCTTCAATTATAAAATCAAATGACGAAACTATGGAATCAATGTTTACGAGAGACGAGTTTAGTCGGCCAATCTTTCGAGCTACCATGTCCCTAAATCGCTACAAAGCTCTTGTGGGTTCTTTACGGTTTGACGATGCTCAAACCAGAGAGCAAAGAAAAACAATCGATAAAGCGGCAGCCATTTCAGAGATTTTTTATAAAATCATTAGCAATAGTCAGGCTGTGTATCGCCCTTCAGCATAGCCTATGTTACAATTGACGAAATGCTAATTCCTTTTCGAGGTCGATGCAGTTTTCGGATGTACATGCCAAAAAAACCAAAAAAGTACGGTATCAAGGTAATGTGCTTAGCCGATGCCAAAACCTCCTACCTGTGCAATGCATATATTTACACAGGAAAAGGAAGTGATGGAGTTGGATTGACAGAAGCAGAAAAGAATCTTAGTATTCCAACTCAGTCAGTGGTTCGTTTGTGTAAAGTAATCGAGGGAACGAACAGAAATGTAACAGCAGACAATTGGTTTTCTTCTGTGGAGGGTGTAGACGAACTTAGCAAAAGGAAGCTTACATACGTCGGTACACTGAAAAAGAATAAACTCTGCATACCAGTTGAGTTCCTTCCAAATAATGATCGTCCTGTCATATCTACCCTGTATGGTTTCAGGAATGAATTAACACTTCTATCTTTTGTACCGAAAAAGAACAGAGCAGTTTGTCTGTTGTCGAGCATGCATCACACAATCGACACTAATGAAGAAAAAAATAAACCGGAGATAATCTGCTTCTACAACAGCACTAAAGCCGGTGTCGACCTCATCGACATGAAATGTGCCGTATACTCTTCAAGTAGAAAAACCAGAAGATGGCCACTAGCTGTTTTTTACAGACTCATAAACATTGCCAGTGTAAATTCCTTCATTGTGTACATGTCTTACACCCGAAAAACAAATGTAACACGCTTTGGTTTTATAAAGAGCCTTGCAAAAGAGTTGATCGTCCCTCATCTTCAAAAGAGGCTCACTGAAGTGGCTAATCTTCCAAGGGAATTGAAACAGGAAATCCAGAAGATACTAGGAAATGATGCTGCTCCCCAGATAGAAGGTGTTCCTGACGATCGTCTGGAGAAACGCAAAACTTGCCAGAAGTGTCCCGCTGGAAGTGACCGCAAAACACAACACAAGTGTATCAAGTGCAACCTCGCCATATGCGGACAATGTCAAAGAAGAGTGTGTACAGGGTGTGCTGAAGAATGTGTGTAGGTAACAGCCATGAGACTTTGGACATTTGCCAAATTTACAAGTGATATAGAGAAATTTGTAAATTTTTACAACAAACAATATTTGTTCTTAGGTAAAATGTTCAAAAATGTAATACGTATTTCACAAGTCATTTCTAATAAACTTTTATTTGTTAAATTAAATGTTTGTTTTACTTTGTATCACCTTACTATACATTTAAAAAAAAAATAAGGCAAAAAAAACACAAAAATGCACAAAACGGTCAAAATGACCGGATGTGTTCTTTAACGTTATGAAAGATATGTGGTCTTGTAAGTGTTAATTTGACACATTTTAGAACGATACTTAATCGAAATTTGACCTATATGTTATGGCACTTGCTAGTATCCACAATCCTGTGTAGTCCTTTGATAAGTTAATTACCTTTCCATTGTGAACTTCTAACTGATTGACTTATTGTTGCGCACACACAACATAAACTTGATATCAATCAAGATAGGCTACCATTTCAAGTCTAGTTTCATAGTTTAACACAACAACTTTAAAGCATTTCTAAAGCCAATATTAGAACTACTCCACGTGCTAAAGCTTTCTCTTGTTTTAGAATATCACAATTGAACTGTCAGTGTAAAGTGAGCTGATTAAAGTCTGAGTAAATTACTGGTTTCTGTCGAATACACAATATTTTTAACCAAGTAAAACTTATAGGACGAGATTTAGCATCTTTTATTACATATTAACTACCTCAGTTACAAAACTAAAAAAAAAGAAAAACTAAAATATTTGGACAGTAGCACTAAACGAGTGGTTTATTCAACGATATTATTTTCAAGAAAATAAAATAAGCGACAGGTGGTCCATGTAGATAAGCTATCTATTTCAGAATCCAAAAGCCAATGGTATCATATGTGGCAACCTTTGAGGACTAGCTGTGCATATTCTCATGGTGATAAAATGCAAATTTAAAATGCAAGTTTGTGCCTTATCTTACAAAAGTATATTAGACTAAGGGAAGGCTGTACCCTTGTTTTGGCAGTCCTTTTTTACAACAGAACGTATAAAAAACTCAAAATAAAAAAAAATATTAAAATTTAGAAAGCGTTTTCGGAAAAAACAAAAAAAATAAAACACAGATACCGGTATGGCTATGTTAAAAAATAGAATCAAATGAAAAGTAAAATCTGTGCCAATAAAAATATTATTAAATTAATAAAAATAACAAATTTTATAAAATCTACTCGGTAGACAAGTTTTTGGGTGCAAAATTTAAAATGGTGAATTATAATAAAATTATGGTAATCACAGTTTTATCTCAACAGAGATCAATTTTGCCAAACTGTACTCTGATAATTTGTAATTCAATGAGGAAGTTTTAAAGTAGAGAAAGGCCAGATTCAATGATGCTATTATTCTAAGCGCCAGTAAAATAACTGCTCTCAGCATTATGTAAATTTGAATCCTCCTTTTACAATTAATTATTCTTCTTTTCAGATAGTTTCTTTTGTAATGACTCAGTCAATCGCTAACTCCGACCGTTAATTTAACAAACTCTCGAATCTTAGATTGCAAATTTCAAACCAAGAAGTTGAGGTTTATTATTTCATCAGGACAATTGCTTTAGCCTACTTCTTTGTTGAAATGCATTCAAATAAACGGCATCACAATTTTAATAGTTTTAAACCAATGCAGGAACATCAAATTACTGTTCCTATAAATTTAAGTATACAACTTAATACTTAAATACAACACTTTTAATACTTTTAACCGTACGAAGTTAAGGTGTTTTAAGCCAAGTATGAATGGAGATGAGTGTTGGATGAGTGTTAGTGAGATCTTGTAGTCTTAATAGTGACTAAGGCTGACATGTTCATTAGAAAGGACTATTAGTTAAATCATCATTATTGTGGATTTAAATCCTGGCATTCACTTTGGTAATATAGCTCATATAGCTCACTTCACCAAGTAATT